TGCCCATTGAGGTTCTGAGAAGCTGAGGGAATTACCCACCTTGCCCACCTCCACATGGCTCCAGTGGATGGAGCTGGGAGTCGTGGCCAAGGCCGACGTGGTGGGGCCCGTGCTCCCCCCTCTCCTGCTTTGTGGGGGTTATCTGATCAGAGGAAGGTTGGGGGTACCTGTGGTGTCCTGGAATGGCCCAGGACCTGGTGCTGGTTCCAATTCTGTGGATCAAAAATGTTAGAAAAATAATACTATCTGTATGGACCATGTATAGACTTTTTTCTTATTATTCCCAAACAATACAATAATTATTTATGTAGCATGTACCCCATACTATGTATTAGTCTATAGATGCCTTAAAGTGCATGGGAGGATGTGTATGGATAATGTGCAAATACTATGTCACATTATAAAGGAACTTGAATATCTGCAGATTGGGGTGCCTTACCAGGCCCCCAATACCAAGGCACAACTGTGCGGATGTGGGACAAATTAAAGCCTTTCCTTCTGTGGACACTAGAGGGCACTCAAGTGCCATTAAATACCACCGTCCCTTTGCATGTAACCAGAGCACAGGCCTGTAGGGTGCCGTTCTGCCCCCCAACATTTCTAGATGCTTCTTCCTTTGTAATTACCCTTCCCCTACTCAGGGTTCTATTTGCTTGCTGTATTTTTTAAATATTTATTTATTTGAAAAGTAGGTGACACAGAGAGAGAGAGGGCTCTTCCACCCACTGGTTCACTCCCAAATGCTACTGTTGCTTTTTAATCCGGCCAGTCTCTAAACACTGCCACGGATCCTTTCTGTAGATCTGGCCAACCTGACCCAGCAGCCTCCCGCCTGTTGTGAGCAGGGAGCCCCATATCCTCCGCACCCAGGCCGGGCCAGGGTCGTGGGGACTGGAGGGTGCTGGGGACCCCTTCCCGTGCCCTCAGCCCTCGCTGCCACACAGGTTCCCAGGCAGCGTCCCTGGTCTTCCCAGGGGCAGAATTCCGCCCCGGGCTCGACTACCAAAGTCTGCTTCTGGAATGACTGCTTTCTCAAGTGCTACTTGGCTGGAGCAACTGTGAGGCCTCAGCTTCCAATCTGGAAAATGGGCTGATTATGCCACCTCGCAAAGTTATTAACAGAGGTTAAGGTAGAAAAGCCATTGCACCCCCACACCCTCCTTAAAAGGGAGCTACCGCCTGCATTAATGTCAGCTCAGCAAGCACATCACTCAGCCTCTTTGAGCCTCAGTTTCCCCATCTGGAAAATGGGATTCATACCCTACTTTACATGGCTGTCAAAGGAGGCTGGATGTTTTCTGGGTAAGTAATGTTCTTAGAGCGACACCCAGCAAGCCCTAACTACGCGGGAGTGATTGTGACATCCCAGGCCATAAACCAGGGCACAAAGGAAACCTCAATTGGCTCCAATACGCGAGGAGTCACTCACACAGCCTTCTTTGATTATAATCTCGAAACCTAGAAATCAATGCTAAAACTTAGTGGACACAAGGGGCTCAGGGTAATAAGCCAAAATAATAAGCCCAAGCTGGCCGGCGCCGCGGCTCACTAGGCTAATCCTCTGCCTTGCGGCGCCGGCACACCAGGTTCTAGCCCTGGTCGGGGCGCCGGATTCTGCCCTGGTTGCCCCTCTTCCAGGCCAGCTCTCTGCTGTGGCCCAGGAGTGCAGTGGAGGATGGCCCAAGTACTTGGGCCCTGCACACCATGGGAGACCAGGAGAAGCACCTGGCTCCTGCCATCGGATCAGCACGGTGCGCCGGCCGCAGCTCGCCGGCCGCAGCGGCCATTGGAGGGTGAACCAACGGCAAAGGAAGACCTTTCTCTCTGTCTCTCTCTCTCACTGTCCACTCTGCCTGTCAAAAAAAAAAAAAAAAAAAGCTGGAGCTGCCCAGGGGAGAGCTTTATTTACCTGTGACAAGTAATTCTTTACTTGTCAATGGCAATTAGAAGCCAATGGCAAAACTGAGTTCCCTACAGATAGTGCCTCCTTGATACACAGTTCTCCAGCACTTTTATCCATGCATCTGTTTAAAAAAAAAAGTCTTTATTTTCACTTTGTTTGGACAGCAGAAAGAGAGACACACACAGAGACAGAGAGAGATCATCCATTCACCAGTTCACTCCCTAGTTGCCCACAACAGCCAGGGCTGGGCCAGGGTGAAGCCAGGAGCCTGGAACTCCATCCAGGTCTCCCACGTGGGTGGCAGGGACCCAGGTATTTGAGTTATTGGCGGCAGCCTGCTGTGGTGCCTTTTAGCAGGAAGCTGGCTGGGAAGCCGGGGAGCCAGGGAGTGGAATCAGAAATCCCAACGTGCGATGCAGGTGTCCCACGCGGTGTCTTGACCACTGCATCAAATGCCCACTTCACCAGGGCTTTGTAGCAGGGGTCGGGAGCTCCCGCGACACAGAGAAGGGGGCGGGCGCTCCCCACTGAGCCACACTCACCTTCACTCCGCTCTGACCCAGGCTGCTCTCCTGCAGCTCTCCTTGCTGGTGCCACAGCTGTCGCCAGTGCCGTGCTAGGGGACATGGTGGGGACCCCTGTGAGGACAGCGTTGCAAAGCAAGCCTGGCTGGAACATCTCCGAAAAGCCAGCTCCATGGGTAGACTGCGTCAGATTCCCTGCCCCCGCCCCTGTGCCCTCTCTCGCCCCTTTCTCGGTTACGTGATCAAAGACCGCCCCTGGCCGGCGCCGCGGCTCACTAGGCTAATCCTCCGCCTAGCGGCGCCGGCACACCAGGTTCTAGTCCCGGTCGGGGCGCCAGATTCTGTCCCGGTTGCCCCTCTTCCAGGCCAGCTCTCTGCTGTGGCCCGGGAGTGCAGTGGAGGATGGCCCAGGTGCTTGGGCCCTGCACCCCATGGGAGACCAGGAGAAGCACCTGGCTCCTGGCTCCTGCCATCGGATCAGCGCGGTGCGCTGGCCACAGCGCGCCGGCTCCGGCTGCGGCGGCCATTGGAGGGTGAACCAACGGCAAAGGAAGACTTTTCTCTCTGTCTCTCTATCTCACTGTCCACTCTGCCTGTCAAAAAAATAAATAAATAAATAAAAAATAAAATAAAACAAAGACCACCCCTAACCTTGGCGAGTAAAAGGTTCTCCTTTAAACAGCTTCTGAGACTTCTGGGCAAGTGGTGAATGCAACGAAGGCCTGTACTTCCTCTTCCTTCTGAAATTCTACTAACAGAACAGGAGAGGGATTTTTTTACGGTAAAATACGCATAAAACAAAATTCAAAATTTTAACCACCTTTAAGCACAGTTCAGTTGCATTAAATAAATTCCCTTTATGTGTTGTGCAATCATCACCACTACCCATCACCAGAACTTCTTTGCTTTTTTTTTTTTTTTTAAGATTTATTTATTTGAAAGTCAGAGTTACAGAGAAAGAGAAAGAGAGAGAGGTCTTTCATCTGATGGTTCACTCCCCAAATGGCCCAAATGGCCTGAGCTGCACCCATCCAAAGCCAGGAGCCAAGAGCTTCCTCCTGGTCTTCCCACATAGTGCAGGGGCCCAAAGACTTGGGCCATCGTCTACTGCTTTCCCAGGCCACAGCAGAGAGCTGGATCAGAACTGGGGCAGCCAGGACTTGAACTGGCAACCATATGGGATGCTGGCACTGCAAGTGGTGGCTTTACCCGCCACATCACAGTGTTGGCCCAACTTCTTTGCCTTTTTTTTTTTTTAAGATGTATTCATTTGTTTGAAAGGCAGAATTACAGAGAAGAAAGAGAGAGAGACAGAGACAGAAAGACAGATATCTTCTATCCGCTGGTTCACTCCCCATATGGCCCTAACAGCCATCCTGGGCCTGTCCAAAGCCAGGAGTTCCATCTGGGACTCCCACACGGGTGACAGGGGCCGAAGCACTTGGGCCATCTGCTGCCTTCCCAGGTGCATTAGCAGGGAGCTGGAGCAGAAACGCAGCAGCCAGGACTCCCAGTGTTCATACAGGATGCCAGTGTCGTGGGTGGTGGCTTAACCTGCTGTGCCATAACACAGGTCATCTTCCCAGCCTGAAACCCTAGGCCCGTGGGACACCGACTCTGCACTGCTCCTCCCTTCAGTCCGTTACCTTTCGTCCTGCAGATTTCTCTTCTAGGTGCCGCAGATGCACGGAATCCTAGAATATCTGTTCTTTTCCATCTGGCTTATTCCACTTCTCATAAATAACACCTTCAGAATTGGAATAGCTGGCCGGCGCTGCAGCTCACTAGGCTAATCCTCCGCCTTGCAGCGCCGGCACACCAGGTTCTAGTCCCGGTCAGGGTGCCGGATTCAGTCCCGGTTGCCCCTTTTCCAGGCCAGCTCTCTGCTGTGGCCAGGGAGTGCAGTGGAGGATGGCCCAAGTGCTTGGGCCCTGCACCCCATGGGAGACCAGGAGGAAGCACCTGGCTCCTGGCTTTGGATCAGCACAGTGCACCGTCCGCAGCGGCCATTGGAGGGTGAACCAACGGCAAAAGGAAGACCTTTCTCTCTCTCTCTCTCTCTCTCTCACTGTCCACTCTGCCTGTCAAAAAAAAAAAAAAAAAAAAAAGAAAGAAAGAAAGAAAGAAAGAAATCCTGTCATTTGCAACAAAATGGATGAAACCGGCCAACACCATACTTAGTGAAATAAGCCAGTCCCCAAGGGACAAATACCATGTGTTCTCCCTGATCCGTGCTAACTAAGAGAGCACCTAAAAATAATCTACAGAACTGAAATTAACGCTTCGAGACGCAATGACTTTGAACAGCCCTTGTCTCGACTGCTCGACTGTTGAGGAACAATTATTTTTCATACAATTTGTGGAACTCTTTACTTAATATAGAGTTATTTGTATGTGTATAAAGTTAACTGAAAATAGATCTTAGTAAAAAATAAGAATGGAAATAGGAGAGGGAGGAGGAAGAAGGGTGGGAGTGTGGGTACGGTGGGAAGAATCACTATATTCCTAAAGTTGTATTTATGAAAAATAAAAATAAATAGTTATACATTTTTTCAAAAGATTGATTTATTTACTCGAGAGGTGGAATTACAGATACTGAGAAGGAGAGACAGAGAGGGAGGTCTTTGATCCTCTGGTTCACTCCCTAAATGGCTGCAATTCTTCCAGGTCTCCCACGTGGGTGCAGGGGCCCGAGCACGTGGGCCATCTTCCATTGCTTTCCCAGGCTGGATCAGAAGGGGAGCAGCCAGGACACGAACCAGTGCCCAAGTGGGATGCCGGTGTCACACGCAGATGCTGAACCTACTATGCCACAGCGCTGGCCCTGAGGAAGGCAGCCCTTAACCACTGAACCAAATGCCTGTAACCATTTTCTTTTATCTCCTTACTTCCTGGTACTTCAACGTATATTCAACACATATTTTCTCTGCCCCAGCACTGGAATCAACAGGTTTTCCAAATAGCCCTTGTATTAATCGCCGCTATAACTAAAATACTCGAGAGAAACGACTTATGGAGGTAGGAGGTAGGTTTCAGCTCACTCTTCCCCGCTCACAATGCATGACTGGCTCCCGCGCTGGTGTGGTGTCCAGTGGGCATGGCAGGTGGCGGGACACGTGCAGAGGAAGGGTCCTGTGGCGAGCCGGGCAGCGTGGAAGTCTATGTGGGTCACACAACTGGGTCACAGGCTCCCTCCAGCCACCTGATCCTCTTCAGTCACTTCCCAAATGCCTCACCTTCAGGCGTCCTCATTGGATTAAGTTTCCGCCCTCTCAGCACCATTCACACAAGACTTTGTGCTTGGAACACCTGCATGAGTCGGGAAGCCAAATCACGGTCCACGTACGGCTGCCCTGCTCCGTCTCACTGGAGAATGGTATTTGGAAACCATAATCTGAGTGCTGGGGGTGCTCAGGCGTGCGGGGTTTCATTGTCCGGGCCTTCTCAGTGGACAGAAGTGAGTCTGTAAAGCGTTTAACCAGCTGACCTCATTATCTAAGAAAACGAAACAAACGAAACAAAACAAAACAAAAAAAGCACTTAACACATTAAGCTGTCCATTTCCATTTAGAGCATCTCCCTGGCTGTGTCCCCGGGCCACCCTGGGACTGCCCCTGACACCTTCCATGCCCGGATGATGAGAACAGGGGGCTGGCTGGGCCATGCCCTCCCGGGAGTCACAGAGGAAGGGGCAAGCCCCATCCCAGTCGCTTTGTGGAACAGGTACCCCGGCTATTTCTCAACTCTTAGGAAAATCCCAGTGGGGGCAGCGAGGGGCCCTACCTGGGCATCCTCACACCTGCCTTTGGGGCTGTCCTGTACTTCAGTGGCTCTCTGATCTCGAGAAGGGGGTGGTCCCTCTCTGAGCCACTGCACCCAGAAAGCCAGACTGTACCACTAAAACAGTCAACACATCGCAACCTCCTGGCAAATCTCTGTTTGATTTCTCTTTCCGTAGAGACGATCACCACACACTTAGTGGCTTCAGACCACGTCCATCAGTGCCTTCACGGTTCTGTGGGCCACAAGTTCCATGTGCTCTCCCGAGCCTCAGTTTCCCTCTTCTGCAAACCAGGGAGAGTAACAGAACCTACTTCCTGGAGCCAGTGTGGAGACACCGGAGACAGAATCAGGCACAGCTTGGTACAGCTATGTTACCCATCGCCAGTCAACCCCACCTTCCTGGGCCAGCTGGGCATCGCCACCTGGGTGCCAGAGGTGGTGGCGGTGAGAAGGTTGCAGGTGCAGGTGTAGTCCTGAGCTGCACTTGAGTCTGCCGGTGTGAAGCCTGGGGACGAGGCACCTCTTGGCCCAGCTGGTTCAGGCCCTGGGTCAAGGAGCCGGAGGTGCAGCGCCCCTCCTGGTCAGTTCGGGATTTGGCTCTGTGTGCACCGCACCTGCCATGGGGCACAGCCACCAGCAGCTGCCTCTTCACCACCCTCCCGCCCCCTGCTTCCCACTCTGACCCACCTAACGGCCAGAGGGAGCCTTCAAATCCATCAGAACACAGTTGGCCCCTGCCCGACCCTCCTAGGAACCATGACCCATATGATCTCCCACCTGGCACCATGCCCCTGCTGCCGTCTGCCGCCTCTGCCTGGTGCCCCGACACCAACACGCCCTTCCCACCCTCTGGCTCTGAGTCACAGCCACCGTTTCCCAAGGCTTTGTGTGTGCCACGCCCCGGGCTGTGCTCTCTACAGGGATTTCCTCCAGGGGCAGGTATTGTGGCACCGTGGGAGAGACCACTTTTTGGGACGCCCCCATCTCCTGCTGGGAGCTGGTTTGAATCCCAGCTGCTCTGCTTCTGATTCAACTTCCTGCAGCTGTGCACCCTGGGAGGCAGCAGGTGAGGGCTCAAGTGCTTGGGTCCTGGTTCTTGGCTTTGGCCTGGCCCAGCCTCGGTTGTTGTGGGCATTTGGAGAATGAACCAGTGGGTGGAGGATCTCTGTCACTCTGCCTTTCAAAGAAATAAAATACAATAAAACTTAAAAAAGATTCTCCTTTAATACTGCTATTTTCCCATATTATAAAGGGAAATTGAGGCTCAGAGAGGGAAAGAGACCCACCCCCACCCCCGGTCACACAGCTGGCAGAGGCAGAACCGGGCTGCCCTTCTCTAAAGCTGCCGTTCAGTACAGCCCAGCCTGCTCTGGGCCCCTCAGAGGGCACAGATGACAGCATTCCTGGCTGGGGTGCCACTGCCGCCGTGCGGAAGGGATGCCCTGAGCAGCCAGACTGTGCTGCTCTGTTCCTGGGGCTGCCAGCGTCCAGCCAGGGCCAGCCATCGGCCCCGGGCAGAGTCCGCCAGCCGTCTGCAGCCCCACGATCTGTGTTGCTTCTGCAGAATCGTTCTGCCTCACTTACCATGTTTCTCCTTTTAATTTCTAGCTCATCTTCTGCAGACTCGGCTTGCTGGTGCTGCTCTTACCCTGGAAATAAATGGCTACCACTCAGCAAGCGAGGCAGACAGGATGGAGGTAGGAACACAGCTCTGGTCTCGGATTCCTGTTTGGATCCACAGCTGACCCACTGTGTGTGTGTGTGGCCTTGGAGGAGCTGCTTCTCTCTGTGTTCCCATCATCATTTGGAAAATGAGAACAATACAAGGGCCCACCTGACAAGGGAGGTTGGAAGGCTTAAATGACGGATCTCAGTGCTTAGAACAGTGCCCAATATGAGGTGAGGTTTTTTTTTTTTTTTTTAAAGATTTATTTTATTTATTTGACAGACAGAGTCACAGAAAGAGGTAGAGACAGAGAGAGAGAGGGAGTGAGGTCTTCCATCCGCTGGTTCACTCCCCAAATGGCTGCAACGGCCGGAGCTGAGCTGATCCGAAGCCAGGAGCCGGGGTGCAGGGGCCCAAGCACTTGGGCCATCTTGAGCTGCTTCCCCAGGCACATCAGCAGGGAGCTGGATTGGAAGTGGAGCAGCTGAGACTCAAATCAGCGCCCATATGGAAGCCGACACCACAGGCCAGGGCTTTAACCGGCTGCGCCACTGTGCGAACCCCACAAGGTGAATTTAACAAATGCTCTCCATTGGGGTCACCATGTCATGCTCATTATTCACATAGACCAGGCCAGATGCCTCTGGGATTTATTTGAAAGACAGAGTGGCAGAGAGAGAGAGACAGACAGAGAGAGAGAGAGGAGAGAGAGGAGAGAGGGAGAGCTTCCATCTGCTGGGACACTCACCAAATAACGCAACAGCCACGGCTGGGCCAGGCTGAAGCCAGCAGCCAGGAACTCCATCCGGGTCTCCCACATGGATGCCAGGGACCCAAAAACTTGGGCCATGCTCTGCTGCCTTCCCAGGCACATTAGCAAGAAGCTAGATCAGAAGTTGAGGGCCGGTGCCGCGGCTCACTAGGCTAATCCTCCGCCTTGCGGCGCCGGCACACCAGGTTCTAGTCCCAGTCGGGGCGCCGGATTCTGTCCCAGTTGCCCCTCTTCCAGGCCAGCTCTCTGCTGTGGCCAGGGAGTGCAGTGGAGGATGGCCCAGGTGCTTGGGCCCTGCACCCCATGGGAGACCAGGAGAAGCACCTGGCTCCTGCCATCGGATCAGTGCGGTGCGCCGGCCGTAGCGTGCTGGCCGCGGCGGCCATTGGAGGGTGAACCAACGGCAAAGGAAGACCTTTCTCTCTGTCTCTCTCTCTCACTGTCCACTCTGCCTGTCAAAAGAAAAAGAAGAAGTTGAGCAACCAGGACTTGAGTGCCACTCCAGTATGGGATACCAGCGTTGCAAGCGGTGGGTTAACCCACTGTGCTACAACACTGGCCCAGAAATCTTTACTCTGTTTGACCTGACCTCAGCCCTCCGGCGCCCACATCTTGGCTGCCCGCTGCTCACTCCCCTCCAACAACAGGGGCCTTGCTCCTTCCACACGCCAGGCTCGTTCTGGCAGCAGGTGCACTTCCTGCCAGGTGCACTTGCCTGACGGGCCTTCTCCCAGGACCTTTGCAGGGCTGGCTCCTGACGTCAGTACACAACAGCTTCCTTATCTGCAGAAGGAGCTGCTTTGTGGAGGATTCCCCTGGCCGCTCTCTAGAGCAGCCCCTGCCCCATACTCTACAGCCACACGCTATCTGCTTTCGCCGTCTCCCTAGCACTTAGGAAATTGTCTCAAGCACTTGTTCCTTTTCTGTCTCTGTCGCCCCATCCAAATTGGCCTGGGTCTGTTCAGCTCACCACGGTATCCCCGGCTCCTAGCAAAGGCCCTGCCTCACAGGGGTACTCAATAAGCGTGCATTGAACGAATGCATAAACCCCCATGCCAGGGGCCGGCGCTGTGGCATACTAGGTTAAGTCTCCACCTGCGGTGCCAGCACAGGTGGGCACCGGTTCATGTCCTGGTGACCCCCGTTCTGATCCAGCTCTCTGCTCGTGGCCCGGGAAAGCAGTGGAAGGTGGTGCTTGGAGCCCTGCACCTGCATGGGAGACCCAGAAGAAGCTCCTGGCTCCTACTAGCTTCAGATGGTCCCAGCTCTGGCCATTGCAGCCATTTGGGGAGTGAATCAGCAGATGGAAGACTTTCTCTCTCTCTCTCTCTCTCTCTCTCTCTCTCTCTCTCTCCATTTCTCTGTCTATAACTCTACCTCTCAAATGAATCAATAAAATCTTTAAGAAAAAAAAAAACACACCATGCTAAAGACCAGGAGACCGAGTCACAGAGAGGCGAAGCAGCTTCCCAGGACACACAGCAGAGACACGGCCCAGGTTTGACTGGCTCCTGGAGGCAGAGGGTCCGGGAAGGGGTGAGACCACCCGCCTCTGCCCCCCAAGCCCCAGCAGGGGCCCAGAGGTGAGGGGAGCTGCAGGTGTTCTCCTGGAATAATGTACACCTTTCAGATGCGCCCTCCCCCGCCACGCCTGCTAAGCACACAGTGAGTATTTGCCCGGTACCTGCTTGTGCTGGGCTGCTCTTCCTGACCGCTTGCCACTATGTGCCAGGCTCTGTCTGATGCATTTCAACCCCAAAGGGCTGTACTGAGGCACACGGGGCTGCCCAGGGCTGCCCCTTCAAAAGCTGTCTTTGGGGCAGGCACTTAGCCTGGTGGTTAAGACGCCTGTGTCTCACGTCAGAACGTCTGGGGTCCACTCCCAGCTCCAGCTCCCAACTGCAGCTGCTTGCTGACATAGACTCTGGGAGGCAGCAGTGCTGGCTCTAGTAATTGGGTCCCTGCCACTTCCTGCAGGAGACCTGGGTTGACTTTGGGCTCCTGGCTTCGAGCTGGCGCAGTATCAGCTGTCTGCACACACGCAGGGCGTGAAGAGGCTGGGCTCAAGCAGGGAGGTAGCACGGGCTGGCCTCAGGGCACAGGCAGACGGGGTGGGGTGGGGGGCTCCTACCTGAATCCAGCTTCTTGTGCACATGTTTGATGGGTGTCTGGCTAGAGGAGGGGATCCAGGTGGAAATGCCTGCAGCGTGGGCAGTGGGGCGCCGCCTTTGAGACTGGCCGCGCAGCCACCCCTCAGGCAGACAGCGGGAAGCTGTGCATCATGGCTTGGAGGGGAATGATCCGTGGGTCTGCAGGTGGAGGAGCAGGTGCAGGGCCACAAAGGCTAGCTGGGCCCACAGAGGTCCTCCAAGGAGGTATGACCTGCTGGGCCTGGGATGGGACACCCACCTCAGCTCACACAGGCCCCCTGGAGAGTTTATCCACGTGGCCCAGCCCCACAGCAGACTGGTCCATGTCTGATAGGTGAGAACGTAATCAGGATTTACTGCCATGGAGAGAGGCTTGTCCCATGTTGTTGAATTGGAAAATGAAAAACATCAAGCTACACGGGCCAGCCTGCGATGCCGGCATCCCATATCAGAGTGCTGGTTCAAGTCCTGACTGCTCCGCTTCTGATCCCTGCAAATGTGCCTGGGAAAGTAGCAGATGACCCAAGTGCTTAGGCCCCTGCCATCCATATGGGACACCCGGATGGAGTTCCTGGCTTCAGACTGGCCCAGCCCCAGCCATCGTGGTCATTTAGGGTGTGAACCAGTGGATGGAAGACCTCTGTATTTCTGTGACTCTACCTTTCAGAAAAACTAAATAAATCTTCCAAAAAAGAAAAAAAATGCATATCATGAAAATTATGCATGGCTATCGAAAATTTTTGCACTAAAATAAGCTTATCTTTTCACTCCATTTTCCGTGCACTTTTAGAATTCCTCTTGTACACAGAGAAAGTATCCAGACGTTAGCAGAACGAGCTCACGGGAGAGGGCATTTGGGGCAGTGGTTAAGCTGCAACTTGGGACTCCAATTTGGGGGTGCCTGGGTTCGAGTCCTAGCTCCACTCTGGATTCCAGCTTCCTGTTAACATGCACCCTGAGAGAAGCAGGTGATGGCTCACACACTTGGTTCACTGGCACCCACTTGGGAGCCCCTGATGGAATTCCAGCCTCCTGGCTTTGGTCTGGCCCCATCATGGCTGTTGTAGGCATTTGTGGAGTGAAGCAACAGATGTAAAGCCTCTATCTCTTTCTCTCCACCTTTCAAGTAAATAAAAAGAAATAAAACATTATTATTTGCTTTTTAAAGATTTATTTATTTGAAAGGCAGAGTTACACAAAGAGAAGAAGAGAGAGGGAGAGATCTTCCATCCATTGATTCACTCTCCAAGTGGCCAAAATGGCCGGAGCTGGGCCAGCCCAAACCCAGAAGCCAGGAGCTTCTTCCAGGTCTCCCACGTTGGAGGAAGGGCCCAAGCACTTGGGCCATCTTCTGCTGTTTTTCCAGGCGCATTAGCAGGGGGCTGGATCAGAAGTGGAGCAGCTGGGGCTCAAATCGGCACCCATATGGATGCCGGCGTCACGGGCGGCAGCTTTACCTGCTACGCCACAATGCTGGCCGCAAACATTTTTTAAAGAAAGGCTGAACTGTGCAGGTACAGTGCTCAGCACAGTGCACACGCAGGGGCCTTGCTCCATGGATAGTGGCTGTCACCATTGGTGACATGAGACCCTCCCACTGCAGCTGGGAAGGTCCTGGGCAGTCTGAGCTCCATAAAGCCTGCACGACTGCATTGACTGACAGCACTCAGCCTCAGCAGCAAGAGCTGAGCCAGGCCCTGTGCTCAGTGCTGCTCCGAGCTCCAGGTGTGCAGGCATCCGGGTCCCCGAGTGCCCTCTGTGCCCTGCCTCTCACCCACCCTCACGTTCTAAGCCCGCTCCTGGGAGGGCTTCCTTGAGCCTGGAGGAGCCAGGCCCCCAGCAGGCGCTGCAGGCTCCCCTCGGCTGCACCAGCTTTTTCTCTGTAACCTTCGCGAGCTCCGGGAGGCTGTAAATCTCTCCTGGCAGGGACTGCAGAGGCTCAGCCCGGGAGCCGGGCAGGCTGCCTTCCTTGTCCTCCTTTGGCTCTGCAGGCTGCAGCTCCTCTCAGAAGCCAGGGCAGCACGCCCAGGGCCAGGCGACTGCAGCAGTCTTGTCCTCATCCTTCAAGGCCATTGCCAAGGGATGGGCTCCCCATCGCCACGCCCGAGTCCCTTCTCCACTCGGCCTGATTCCCCAACTGAAAAACAAGGGGGCTGTCTGAACTACCACTGAAAAAGGCTCTCTCTCTCTCTCTCTCTCTCTCTCTCTCTCTCTCTCTCTCCCACACACACACACACACACACACACACACAATTTTGCACACAAGCCTCACCAGCTGCTTCTGCCACCAGACCCATCATGAACCTGCCGGGCTAATAATTGTTGCATTTCAAGCTACTGTTATTTGCAAAAAGCAAGTTGCAAATCAGGATGGATAGCAGGATTTAAAAACAAAAATGTGAACATATACTCGTGAGTGGCTAGTAAAATCTGGCGGGATCTATGCAGCATCGGATGGGAGGGCCCTCTGGCTGAGACGTCTCTCGCACCATCCATCTCCAGGGTTGCGTCTGTATAATAAACGGTTCCTGGGCTTTCCTGCGGGACACGGAGGTCTCAGGAACAAGCACTGCCTACCCCAGACACTGTTGTCACTCAGTGTTGTTTTTTTTTAACATGTGTGTGGTATTTTTAGGGATTTTTTTCCCCCATTTCTGATATGACCCTATAGTAGTATCACCAACAATCTCAAATTCCAGGCCATTGATCCTTCTGTTCAGCAAACTGGGTCGACCAGAGACCCAGAATAGCAAAGTGGATGCAGGCTTCTGACCCACAGTCGATCTATAGGATGAGGGCTATGACTCAACACTTAGTGCTGGGGTCTTACACACCAGGTAATCAGCTTATCTGGTCCGGCCTCCGTTTACCCTCCAAAATAGGCTTATGGTAGTTCCCACACCTCCAGGGCTTCTTACTTTGGTAAGAAGAAAACCACAGTAAGTTCTGTTTTGTTTCTAAGGAAAAGACGACAGTGGGGCAGGCTCTCAAGGCCCTGTCCGGGTGCCCAGGGGAGGTGGTGGGTCTTAGAAATGCACTCGTGTGTCTTGACCAACTCCTTCGCTGCTGGTGGGTCTCGAGGTGAACCCCAGAAGGTCCCCCACGGGGCCAGGAGCCCAGAGGACAACCGTGGCTCATGGGAGCCAGCCTGGACGCTGGCGTCTGGCATTAGTTCAGCAATGGGGATATAAAAAACCCAGACATCACCTCATCGCTGTCTCATCAAAAAAGGAGACTTTCTGCCTGCACACCCCTGCAGAGGACAAATTCCTGCCACTGTGTCACCTGGGAGGGGTCAGGGAGAGCCGAGTAGGGAATCTACGGGGTTCTCCCCCTCCTGGGGGTCAGGGGGCAGCCCCAGTCATCACAGCCGTCCTGGGACTGGCCTCTTGGTAACCATGGCAACCCTAGCTCCTGGGCACTATGTGGGCACCCTCCACTCCTTCCCACAACCCTGCAAGAGAGGTACTGCCCCCCCCCGCCCCCGCTTACCTGCTCCTGGAGGTGAGAGGCTTGGCTGGGGGTCCCTGAGCCACAGTCAGGATCTGCCCCAGTCTGACTCACTCCAGATGCAGTGGTTCAGCTTCCTGGGGGTGAAGCCCCGGATGTGACCATGGGCAGGCCCGCTGAGTGCCCCGCTGACGGCTTCAGCATCCATGCCAGGGGTGTTCACAGGAAAACTCCAGGCTGCCACCCCACTTCCTCTGGAGTTCAGACGCAGGCCTTTCTGGACGATTTGGTCTGAACACAGGGCCTGTCAGCTGCAGAGAGAAAACTGACACAAAGGAACACAACCCCACGAGGCCGGGCAGTCTCCCCAGGATACAGTGGGAAGATCCCCACAGCCCTAGGTACCCAGTGTGTCTTCTCGGGGCCAGTTCTGCCCCCCTGGCTCCTCTGGCCATGCCGGCTTGGCCTACTGAGCTCAGGGTCCCCACGGCTTCTCCTTGTCCGACTCCTGCCCTGGAGGGCATGGGGGCTCTGCGGGCAGAGTGCTGTTCAGGACACTGGGACCCTGCTGGCCCCCAGGACCAACATCCACAGCACAAGGCAGAAAGGGGCCTTGTAAACACCCCTGCCTTTTCTGCTTTCCTTGCCTAGTCTTTGCAATTGAGTGCCAAGATGGCGCACCAGGAGAGCCAGAACCCTTAGCATTCAGGTCTGGCTTTGAACCCAGACTTTTATGCTAAGTTGACAGTCATTTACCATTGATCACTATACAGGTCCTTTGCGGTGTGATCTCAGACACAGTTACCAACCTTTCTGTGCTCTGCGCAGCACCCCAGGAGCGGGCCCCTGTGAACTACATTTCCCAAGCTTCTTTGCCAACTGGCTCTGGTCCAGCACATGGGAGGCAGGGAAGGGAAACTGGAGGGTGGGACAAGTCTGGGTATTCCCCTGCCCAGAGCAGCCCAGGGCTCTGTGGTTCCAGGCCGCAGGTATAGGTACCCATGCCCTCCTGCCTCCTATTTGGCTTTCAACTACCTCAAATCTTTTTTCACTGCACACTTTAAAAAATTGTGTAAAATTTATTGAACATGAAATCTGCCATTAAAAACGATTTACTTATGTATTCATAAGGCAGAGTAACAGGGAGGGGGGAGAGTCAAAAAGATAGATCTTCCATCTGCTGGTTCACTCCCCAAATGGCCACAACAGCCAGGGCTGAGTCAGATGGAAGTCAGGGGCCCAGAACTCCATCTGGATCTCCCACATGGGTGGCAGGGCCCCAAGCACTTGGGCCATCATCTGCTGCCTTCCCAGGTGCATTAGCAGGGAGCTGGATCAGAACCCAGGACTCGAATATGGCATTCTGATACAGGATGTCAGCGTTGCAAGTGGTGGTTTAACCCACTGAGCTACAGTGCTGGCTCCATTTTTACTGTTCAGTGTACAGTTCAGTGGTATTCATTACTAACGTTGTGGCTAACGTGTGGCGCAGCGTGTTAAGCCACAGCCTGCAATGCCAGCATCCCATATGGGTATCCTTTCAAATCCCAGCTGCTGATCAAACTTCTGATCTAACTCCCTGCTAACGTGCTTGGGAAGGCAGCAGAGGATGGCCAAGTGCTTGGGCCCTGCACACACGTGGGAGACCTGGCTCCAGGTTCCCCATTGCAGCCTGGCCCCGCCCTGGCTCTGTGGCCATTTGGAGAGTGAACCGACACATAGAAGATTCTCTCTCTCTCCCCCTCTCCCTCTCTCTTTCTGCCTTTGCCTCTCTGTAACTCTGGCTTTTGAATAATAAATAAATAAATCTTTTTAAAAAAAATGTTGTGCTACTATCTCTAATATCTATTTCCAAATGAAATCCTTACAACACCCTTTTGGGGGCTGAACCAAACTGGGCTGCTTTGCAGGCGGTAAACACCCTCTCAGGCAGTTCCTTCCCCACATATCTCAAATCCCACGAGGCTGCATGGAGTGGGAGAGAGAAGACAGCCCCATTTCCCAGAGGGAGAAACTGAGGCGCAGGAAGACCCAGAGCTCCTGAGTAAGAGGGGCTCCCAGGCTCGGGATTCCCACCCCTGCGCTCCGTCTGTACCCCCAGGCTCCCCCGCCCAGCCTGGGTGCCTGTCCTGCTGCCCTGCCCCCTGCCAAGGGCAAATCCTGTCAATGGGCTCCTCTGGACCAGAGGACCGCCCTGGGGAGCAGCAGGGAGGCAGGGGTCCTGGGTCTCTGCAAGCCCAAGAACCAAACAGTCCATCCCCTCTGCAGGTGGGAAGCGAAGTGAGAGCTCCCAGGGGCTTGCGAGCTGCCCCTTCCAACGGAAGCCTGCAGGGCTGGGACAGTCCAGGTCGTGTGTCAGCTTCCAAGGCAATTTGGGGTACTCTCTTAATCCTCAGAGACAATAGGGAGTCCTCGGGGAGGCACACCCACTGGGTTCCCATCAGCAAGCAGTGGAGCCGGGAATCAGAGGCCTGCCTAGTGCCCCACAGGGGTACGCCCCCCTACTCCCCACCTGCCATCACCCCCGCCCTGCAGCCCCCTGCCCTTGCACAGGTTGTTTCCCCACGCTGAGCTGCCTCTGCGAGGGATAAGAAAACAGGGATCGCACTGGGCCGAAGGGAGACCCCACAGCCTGACGCAGCCCTTTACTATGGCAGTGGCGGGCGAGACCGTGGCCCAGCGCCCAGCCTCTGCGGCAGCCTCCAGAGCAGAGCCGGGCAGGCAGCTGGCCCAGCTGCGAGGCAGGCACAAGGGCAGCGGGGATGGGAACCCAGGACAAGGAGGGGGCCTCAGGGCAAGGGCGTGGAGGTCTCTGGTGGCCGCACACCCCGGCCAGGCCCTGGTGGGCACTCTGTCCCGAGTCCCGAGCAGCTCTGGTGGCCGGGGCGTCTCACAGGCCTGCGTTTGAAGTTGGCTCTAAAAATGCACACCCGGCACTTCTCTGGGAAAACATCAACCTGCTGGGATGATCTCCAGACTGCCTCTTGGGGAGGACCTGGGTAGAGGGGGGCTGACGAGGAGCAGGGAGACTTCCCTGTCTGCTTTTTGGGACTTTGGCCTTTTGTGCCATGAATAAATACTTTTTTTTTTTTTTTTTGACAGGCAGAGTGGACAGTGAGAGAGAGAGAGACAGAGAGAAAGGTCTTCCTTTGCTGTTGGTTCACCCTCCAATGGCCGCCGCGGCTGATGCACCGCGCTGATCCGATGGCAGGAGCCAGGTGCTTCTCCTGGTCTCCCATGGGGTGCAGGGCCCAAGCACTTGGGCCATCCTCCACTGCACTCCCTGGCCACAGCAGAGAGCTGGCCTGGAAGAGGGGCAACCAGGACAGAATCCGGTGCCCCGACCGGGACTAGAACCCGGTGTGCCGGCGCCGCAAGGCGGAGGATTAGCCTAGTGAGCTGCGGCGCCGACCCATGAATAAATACTTTTTAAAAATTAAAGCCTGGATGGGGCCGGTGCTGTGGTGCAGTGGGTTAATGCCCTGGCCTGAAGCGCCAGCATCCCATTTGGGTGCTGGTTTGAGACCCGGCTGCTCCACTTCTGATCCAGCTCTCTGCTATGGCCTGGGAAAGCAGTAGGAGATGGCCCAAGTGCTTGGGCCCCTGCACCCACATGGGAGACCCGGAGGAGGCTCCTGGCTCCGGGCTTCGGATCGGCGCAGCTCCAGCTGTTGCGGCCAACTGGGGAGTGACCCATCAGATGGAAGACCTCTCTCTCTCTCTGCCTCTCCTCTCTCTGTGTAACTCTGACTTTCAAATAATAAATAAATCTTTTTTAAAAAAATTAAAGCCTGTTTTGGGAATTCATTGCTATGTGACGTTGAGCAAGGCATGTAACCTCTCTGAGCCTCTGTCTTCACAGCTGTTGAACAGGGTCAATTATAGCCCTTACTACTTCATAGCAGAAGGGTGAGGCACAAATGAAACCTGAGAGTGAAGAGTGTAGCATGCTGGCAGTCACGCACTAATACAAGGGGAAGTTGAAACCGAAGTTTTGATGCAAAAAATTTTTCAATCCATGCATTTTTAAAAAGATTTTATTTGTTTATTTGAAAGAGAGAGAGAGAGAGAGAGAGAGAGAGAGAGGTCTCCCATCCTCTGGTTCACTCCACAAATGGCTGCAATGGCCGGAGCTGGGCCAATCTGAAGCCAGGAGCCAGGAGCTTCTTCCGGATCTCCCACATGACTGCAGGGGTCCAAGGACTTGGGCCACCTTCCGCTGCTTTCCCAGGTGCATTAGCAAGGAGATAGATCGGAAGTGCAACAGTTGGACTTGACCCAGCGCCCCTATGGGATGCTGGCGCTGCAGGCTGAGGCTTTAACCCACTGCGCCACAGTGCCCGCTCCTCAAGTAGAACAATTAATAAAAAGGAACTCTGTTCCAGGGCCAGACGTATAAAGGCAGGAAAGGAGAAGACGGTGACCAAATACCTGCTGAGACGGGGACAAGTGGGCAACAGGCCACCGTGTTCTGGACAGTCCCATGCCCTCCTCGTAGACGACCAGCACTGAGGCCCGCTTTGCCCCCTCCTCCTTCCTGCTCACCACTGGGCTGGGACCACCTCGAGGCATAGTGACGCTTGCCACCCCAACCCCTACACTGGCCCCCAAACTCCTACCCTCAGCCCATCCCCCATCTTTCCTCTGTCTGTGACGGGGGCCCAGGCAGACCCTGGGAACCAGAGAAGAGGCTACTGGGCTGGGCCTTGACGGGGAAGGAGACCCGTATCTACTGTCACCTGCTGGGGCCGTGTCCAGCGCGAGGGTCTGCCTCCAGTGACCCGGGTCTGAGCCGTTCTCTCCCCATTTTATGGATGAGAAGACTGAGGCTCCGGGAGGTGAGGAGAGAGTCCTGCCCACGAAACGGGCTCCACGAGCCACGCCTGGCTGCCCAGCTATTCATGGCAGTGCTGGGCTGGAACTCCATCCTCTCGCTCAGTGCACTGCCTGCCCTGAGGTCCCAGGTGCCTGGACGGTGGGGTGGGGCTTCCAGGCTGCAGCCCGAGACAATCTGTCTGCAAACAGGGATCCGGGGAAGAATGGGCCTGCTGGACGGAGCCCAGGGGAGCCATAAATCAGGCTCTGCGGCTGCTGGGCTGCGGCTTGGGAGCAGGGACTGGTGCCTAGCGGGGGAAGCAGACCCCCAGCCTCTTCCCGCGAGGCCACGGGATGCTGCAGAGGCTGCGGTGGTCCTGGCTGGGTCCCCAGCCCCGCCGCAGCTCTGCAGAGGAGTTGCTGAGTCGGGCTCGGCCGGCTGCCGCCGCCGCAGTGAGAGCAAAAGGCCCAGACAGGCCCGCTGGGGGTGGCCTGG